CAGTAGAACCGCAGAATAAAGCAATTTCACATTCAAAAATCAGTGATTCACCGACACTCTTCGGCGGACACAGGATGTCTCGGAGCTGAGCTGCCGTTTGGCTTTTTTCTCTGATAACTGAAGATCCAGATGTCCGATGACTAAAATCCTTCATCTGGTTAAAATATACAATAGAAATGTATCTTAAAAATGTGGCTTAAAAGTAGATGAAAGTCAATTTTGATCTTCTGGCAGACAACCACAGCATCGATGCATGCACAAAGGGGATATGACGTCATTGACAGGTGACCAAATGAAACGTAACGTTACCATGATTAAAATCACATATTTCTCTAGTTTTGAAAATTGCTGGAGACATTTGGGATAATGCAAGTACACAACTAAGAAAAAAAAGTAGGTCTAGTCATTTTTAGAAATTTTAAAGTTGTTTTTTTTTTTTACTTTCTTAAAGTAAAATACAGTGTAGAGGTCAGTAGCAGCAGCAGCAGCAGCAGATCTCTCTGGTGTTTGTTTATGGTAATCACAGTTTTCTCCCAGGATTAAAGTTGTGATGATTTATTGATGTTAAAATCAGATATTGAATTTTCCCCCAGGCTCATCTCCTGGAGCAGGTCATTTCAAAGACTCTTGCAGCATCATGATTGCTCCTTGATTGCAACACACATGATTTTTAACCTTGAGAGTTTGGTTCATGATTTTTACTGTGGCTCAGTGTGCCAGAATAAAACCTCTTCTCTTGTATTATGGTACACAAAGGTTGTTTTCTTTTTTATTATCTTATTGTTGCTCAGCCAACTTGCCTAAAAAATAAAAAAATAAAATTATTGCAATTTTTGTATACTTTTTCTATCATAATCTTGGTTAAATGCCCAAGTGATAAATGGGTGGAAGAAAACCGCTCCCACATCTGCAGCATTTATCTGTTTTAATAGAAACACTGGGTGCCATGCAGGTGTGTGTGTGTGTGTGTGTGTGTGTAGGTAGACTTTCCTGTTAGCACACACTGAGACTGATGGAGGAACCAATATTCGTTTCACAGACATGGAATTGGGTCTAGTCTGAAAATAGCTTGTAACGAAAAACTTCCCTCTAATGGAAATCTATATTAAAAGACATTTTTTATAGGATTAGGTTTAATCCGTGGCTGTGAAACCAGCCTAGACTGTCTCCATTCCAGCTCTATTCTCAGACTGTGTGTGTCTACAGGCATATGTGTTGGCGTGTGTTCATGTGCGCACCCATGCGTGTGTGCGCGCTCGCTGGCAGATGCCCAGCGAAGAAGCGTTCGAGTGTTGATTTGAGAGTTTGGATTAAAAAGTAGATTGTGTTCCTTGGAACAACCTCAAACTTCTGGCAGCCAGTGTGGAGATTGGAGAAGCCTTGCTAATTGATACAGTTTTCCCTCTGCCCTTCTCTCTCTAACTGAAGCCCCTGCTGGAGAGATAAGATGCTCTTTATTCTCTTTTTCATCACTCTTTTCCTCCTCCTCGCCTATTTGACCTAATTTATCAGTGGCAGATAAAAACCAAACAAATCAGAGGAGTCGCAGCTTCAAACTCGCTGCCCTTTGGCTGGCGTTCTGATCCGTTCCTCGTTCTGACACTGTCTTCTTCCCTCTCTTCCTCTCTTTGATCTGCCCATCCAGCGTTTTCTCTCGTCTTTCTCCCTCTCTCCAGCCTAACAGATTTCAAGTTCTGATGGTGGATTGGTCATAATTTGTTTCGCACATTGCATGCACAAACACTCACCTCAGACAGAGGAGAGATGAGTAAAATATGATGCACTTTTTGCAACTCATGAAGCCACAGCACATCTGCCTCAACTAGTTAATTATTTACATGGCGTTGAATATCTTGAATGCTGATGAAGCAGAAATATAAAGGATAAACATAGGGACGAAGAAATGTTCATTGATCAGATAAGATTCATGTTTTGAAGTTGCTATTTGTTGCCTGCTCTCTGTCGCTGATTGTTGAGGTATGTGTCTGATCACCCTAAACTTCCTCTGTTGTTTTTAATCATCTTACACAGCGTGTCGTGCTGCTCAAGAGACAAGAGGGGACATTACGTGAAATTTTGGTCCACACTGTGCATTAATAAGAGCAGAGAAGTGAAGCCCTGAGAATAGTATTGATCTTTCAAATGTACATTTAAAAATTTTAAATGTAATTTAAAATTTTAAGTGCAATTTAATATTTACATTTTTTTAATGTTATTTGGAATTTAAAATTTTCATCTTTTAAATGTAATTTAAACATACCCGACAGAATCTCTGACTTGCAGTTATTGTGGTAGATGTAGTATTAATGCACTAATCCTGAAAAACTTTATTGATAACACTACTACTACTACTAATAATAATGATAATAATGATAATATCATCACCATCATCATTTTAAAGCAGGCAGGGGAGGGTGAGGAGTTGTAATGTCCGCAGAGCTTCCTCTCAGCCTGTGTACAGCCCCAGCCAGCTCCATCGTTTCAGAGGGTTAGTGTAGCCTTTCTGCGGTCTGAGAAGTGAAACGACTTACAGCTGCAGAAACTTAATATCGCTGTGAGTACATGTAATCACCGAATACAGCCTGGAGCCTATCATCAGTTCCTCTTCTTCCTCGTGGTGTTTTGATAGGTCGACAGTAAGAAGACACCGTAGAGGGAGAGCTCACTGACTACATCAGTCTGAAACTGTAGAAGTGCAGGAGACAAAAATATGATTTTGAAAAGCAAGGGGGACCTGTGCCCCCATGAACATTGTAACCTTTTTAAGTGTAGGAGTTATTGTATTCGACTGCATTCCTTTAGCTAGCTGTGCCTATAAAATTGCTACTGAGTGTATGCTGTACATGTAGTGTAGATGTGTAAAGTCTTGAAGGCTGCACTTGAAGCAATGAGTTACACTGAATTTATTTTGGTAGAGTGGGGCTGATAGGTGGCGTCTCGGTCTGATCATTGTGTTGATAATGGTTGGTTAGGATCGTTAGGATATGTCACTCACCATGATTTACAGCACACCAGAATGTAATTTTCTACATATTCATTCTCATCTCTACTGAGGTATTTGCTTAAAAGTAGGAACACTTTGATAAAGTGAAACAGTTCTTACATATTTGATGTTGAATGCTACCAGGACTTCCTGTAGATGTCATGGGAGGGTTCACAGGCTGACGATCCCGAGGATCTGCAGCACTCTAGATAAAGTTCGGTGGGAGCTCTCAGCTTATGACTGAGCTGCAGTAGTCTAGTCAGGAGATGAATGGAGCTTGTGGCGGGAGATGAGCTGATTCTGCTGAGAAATGCAAAGATCCAAAGACGCTCTGTCACATGCTTTTTATTTTGTCCTCTTCTCTTTGACTGCTTCCCACTATGGTGGCGTGAAAGGAGGCACTTTCATTTTTCTCCTTTTTCAAAGCAGAGCACCACAGAGATCCTCGTCAGCACACTTGACTTTGTCTCCCACTTTAGTCGCTTGTTCGTTTTCATTCTCTTGATGTTTTCCCTCCTGTTTCCCACCTATGTTTCTGTATTCCATCAAACTGCTCTACATTTTGATGTGGAGCAGCAAACGATTGTGTGGTAGTCTGGGGGATGCTGCTCTCATGAAGGAATATGTTCCTCAGTTAGACCATGATAAGCTGGTTATAATTAATTAACATGGAAACTTTTAGCACTAATCATAAGGATGAAGTAGGGGTAAAAAAAGCCAAATCAACCACCTTACATTCAATAGTTTTTATCTCTTAAAACTTCCAAAAGTGGAAGCACCAGGAATGGGTTTCTATTTGTGTTTATCAGTGGCTTTTTCCTTTTATCTCGCTTTTTCCTTATGACTCATCCTCACATCCAAAAAAAAAAAAACACATCTAGGCACTCACACATGCCTCTACATGAAAACATCACATGGCATCCTGCCACCAAGGTTGTGTGCCCATGTAATTGGATGAGAGGAATCATGTTAGCAGCTTTGAACCCCCGGCCATGGCCTGCCGGCTTGGTCTGATGCCCCCGTTCCAGCTTTCTGCGGCCACTTAACTGCCCTGGAGGGGATAAACACTCAAGCTCAAGCTCCCACAATCTCTTCCCCTGCGAAGGGTTTTGAAGTGCCAGTGCTTTTTTACCTTTGACCTATAGTAGAACTAGCAGTTAGCTCTGGACCAGCACAGGTTTGGCTTTAGGATCAGGTCTTTTTCAGGTTGCTCTTTTAAGCTGGAAAAACATAATTTACTTGACTCCAGTGCTGCGGCTCCCATGGGCCCAGAGCCTGGGAAGTTTACAACACAGCTAAGTAGCCATAAAGGGATTTGCAGGCAAGTTTCTCTCATATAAACTGTGCAGAGAGGACAGCGAGGACAGCTTTTTAGCACTTGGGAAACTGATAGTACAGCAATGTCTGAAATATAATAAGAATATAACAAGACGATTGGCTGATTGCTCCTATTTCTCGCCACATCAAACTTCCTTATAGTGATATTTTCTTTGTCCCCAGAACTTTGCATTTACCTAACCAAACTTCGTGTTGATCTATAACAGACAGAAATCCTTCTGTCAATCATGGTGTAGTTGCATTTTGTTTGTCGAGACTACAGAGTGTCTGGGAGCTGAAATGAAGGCTTGGCTGAGCACACGTGTAGGCGAGCCACTGAAGTTATCATTAGTGTCTAGCCCAGTGGTCACTGAGGGGGCTGTTAATTTCACACTCCTCCTTGTATATCAATATTACTGCGGCTCAGACTCATAAATATATGCAGCACCTCTCAAAACAAACTAAGCCGGACTGCTGTTTTCTGTCCCAGTGCGTTTACCAGAGCTGGTGTGCGTTCTCTTGAGGTTATGATGCGTGTACATCTGTGAGCAAGAAAAAAAAAAAACTTTTAAACTTCTAAAAAAAACCTTTCTGACCATTTACTGAAACACATTTCCACGCACAGATGTGTCTGAATATAAATTTTGCTGAGTGTGAATGATTTATGTGTGTCTTTCTCACCCCCCCCTACCCCGTCCAGGCTTAGTCCAGAAAGTGGACCAGCGCCTCCCGGTGGCCAACGAGTACCTGCTGCTGTCAGGCGGAGCCCGGGAAGGGGTCTTGGATCTCAACCCTGAGGACCTTGGGGACTACGCCAAAGGGGCCGACTTTGACCTGGACTTCACCCTGCTGGTACCCGCCCTGAAGCTCCATGACCGCAACCAGCCTGTCACCCTGGACATGAGGCACTCCCCACCCTGCCACTCATGGCTCAGCCTCCGCCTCTGCGACTCCAACATCCTGTCGCGCTGGAGCATCTGCTGCCAGGAGGAGAATGGGCTTCCTGCTGAGGAAGATGAGGAGGAAGAGGGAGAAATGGGTAAGTCGATAAAGCAGAATAGACACTGGAAGTAGAGTGAAGGAGAAATGGGTCATGAGGGCGAGGGAGAGGGGGAACAAAAGGTGACTGGATGAAGTACGGACTAAAAGAAAAGATACAGGGATGTTACGGGAGGTAAGGGACAAACTGAAAGGTGGAAGGAGGATGGAGAATCAAGAGTGTAACATAGAAAGATGAAGAGATAAGTGACGAGAGGAAAGAGGAGTGGAACAGACAAGTGTGGAAGGTAGTGTGGCAGAGCAGGGTGGAAGGAAGCGGAGCTGATTGAATTTCGCTCATGTTTCACTCAGATAATATGACGCATGATGTTGTGAAGCAATTTTGCCTGGCAAGCTGCAGCGGAGGCCGCGTTCGTATAACTCCTCAGATAGGTGAAACGAGAAAACCTCCCCAGGAAATAAACGCTGAAACATTTATGAGTGTAACTTAACAATCGAAAAGTTCAAGATTACTCGGCTGCTTCGAGATTGCACTGCGACATCAATCTGCCGCGCGCTCGCGAGTATGAAACTTCTGAGATGAGAAAAAGTAATGACATTTATTGATATGAATCTCTTTAATTTTGAGCAGATTGGGAAAATACATTTCTTGGTTCTTGGTATCAGAACGTTTCCCACAGGATATTACTGTATTGTTACTGAGTTTGTGGTGGCAGGACGGCGTGGTTTAGTTGACAGCATGTACATGTGTCACAGCAAAATGCTACCGAAAGGTTAAAAAAAGGGCAGAGGTGTTGTGAGTTTAAATTCTAATTTTTATTCTTTGCAGCACAGCGTTGGCACCTCTCTTCAACTTTTTTAGTAAACTGAATACTACAGGTACCCAAAGGTCTACTTGAGGGCTGCACCATTATTTTTATAAGTGATTAATAGTTCATGCAATATGTTTCTCAAGGTAACATCTTCCAATAATCCATGAAATATATAAAATTTGCTGTATATATATTAAACAGAGAATTTAACAAATCCTCACATTTGAGCAAAATTTTGCTTGATAAACTTAATCGATTAATTGTTGATCGTTCAACGAAGCTAATTGTTTCAGCATTATTCTTAAATTAGAGTAGTATCGGGAATATCCTCAATTACTGTCACCAACAGCCATATTCGTAATTAGCACTGGGTAAAAAAAAAAAAAGATTCTCTGATTCAAATCGATCTTTATTGAATAATCCGATATCGATTCAGAAAATCCCAAGATTGATCTTTTATGAGCCTTTTACAGTCTCCCTTGGACATGTGACCATCCTTCTCGTGCAACGAGATCAGGTCACGTGAAGAGAGACAAAAACATGGCCGATGCGGCTCCATTGAAGGCACCGACAAATCTAAAGGCAGATGTGTGGTTGCACTTTACTTTTAAGAACTATGAAGGCAGCGAAGAGCTGGAGAAAAGTAAAGCCAAATGCAAGATGTGCAAGAAGAAGCCATGTGTACCTGTTCATACACTCTGTAGCCAGTGCTTTGCAGTTCGTTAGCAACACATATTATTTACCTACCTATCATTTCTTCAGATGTGTGTCTAAACTGTTGGTCATGTTAGATAGAAAGTGCATTAATGTAACTGCTCTGTGTCCATTCTTCATGTAAACATTAATATTTTTGATAATGCACCAGGTTAGTGGAACAATTTACAGCATTAGTTCTCTGAGAACATCATTCATATCCAAGCATCATTGGTATTACACTCAAATATCTCTGAATTTGAAACTGAATCGAATCATGACCTTGTGAATTGGAATGGAATCAATTTGGGAAATCAGTGGCAATACCCTGCCCAAGTCCAAATATCCTAAATCCATGTCCAAAATGGGAAAGAAGTGCAAATACACCAAAAAAGGAGAATGATCCATTTGCGCAGACAGGTGAGTTCAAGTAAAATAAGTCCTGACTTTTCAATCTGCATCAGTGTTGCCAGATGCTTCAAACCAAAAAAACATAATTACTGTAAAAATAGTGGTAATTAAGGTAGGAAGGTAGATACTATTGTACTATCACACCCAGACTGGGGCACACCAACGACTGAGTTTGCAATCTACATGAATCTGTGCCAAAGGCTGTACTGCCTTTCACAATACATCCATGATTATTGATGAAGTTGAACGCAACAGGCTCCGACTACGGGCCAGTGTTTTTTGTTTTTTTTAATACAGGCTATAGGACATGCTAACAGTTACAGCTATTTTTACCAAAAACCAAAGACAGTATGAGGATAAATGACATGAAAGTATCATAAAGAAAAGCTCACAGAGTTTTTTGGAGGCTGTTATTGGATCACTGAAATAGTTAACAGACAATGAGTAATGAGGTTGGTCCCAAATCAGCCGTTTCATGATTATGGCATGACTATGACGTATCAAAATGATTGTACATTTACAGAGTTTCAGAAATGCTGATCACACATCAAACAAAGAGCTGAATTATCGTACAAGTATGATAATATGCTACACACTACTCTGCACACTAAACACTAATCCTACTATTTTTCTGTTGAACTTCAAATGAACATGTCCTCCGTTTAGTTTGAGTTACTCATTATCTGCTCGTCTCCTTATCAGTCAGAACCCACATTATCTGCCTCTGACCCTGGGCAAAGTTTTGTGCAGTTTATCCCTTTAAATCTAGAGTCTGATAACAAACTAGTCTGAAGAGTAAAGAATACAGAATCAATGTAATGTTTTTATACTACAACTAAAACTTTGTGTAACAGGGTCTTTGGTGAATTGGTTTCCATAGAGACCGTGAAACTTTGAACTTTGGGTTTTGGATAGTATTAATCTTCTGACTAAAAAAGTACATTACACTGGTTGATATTGACAGTTCAAATGCTTTCATTCGCTGGTGAGTTTGGTTAATCTGTTTGTTGTCAGCTGGTTTGTATTGACATCTCCTCTTCAGGTAAAGGCTCCATCCCCTCCCTGGGTTCTCCTCAGTCTCTGGATGGATGCTACTTCTCTCCCACCCTGGTGACAGACTGGTTCTGGGGGGTGGTGAGTGAGGCCGTGGAGGAGCTGAGACGTAGCCCCCAGAGAGGCATCCCCACCCCGGACCGCCTGGAGAGGAATGGACCCCTCACTACCATCATCCTCCAGGTACAGATTAGGTGGCCCTTATTCCCGTGCTGAAATGATGATAAATCCTTATGTCTGAATCCATAAGTGAAATCAGATTGTAGTCAAATGTTAAAATAATTTTCAAGAAATCAATTTGCAACATGTTTGTAAGAGGAATAGAAATCCAGGACAGATTCAGAGATGTTCTAATATTCCCCCACCGTCTCCTCCCTGCAGGCAGGCTCTAGCCGGGTGCTGTACGACCTGCTGCCTGTGGTGTCGTTTCGGGGCTGGCCTGCTGTGGCCCAAGGCTGGCTGACTGCCAACCACTTTTGGGACGGTAAAATCACAGAGGAGGAGGCCATATCTGGCTTCTATCTGCTGCCCTGCTGCTCCCCCCTGGGTGGTCGGCCCGACAGGGAGTGGAGGCTGGCATTCTCACGCAGCGAGGTGAGAGGATTGTGAATGTAACTTATTTTGTGGTGTCATGTCTGGTGCCACTTTGTAATAGGTTTAAAGCATCAGTGCAATGTTTCCATCTGGTTTTCTTTGTGTACTTCTTTGTAATTAATCTTCCCTTTCTATTCCTCCGTCTCTTGATTTTCTAAAAAAGTTTATCACTATGTCTTTAATGCTGCTTCTATTTGACTCATTGCTCGTCTCTTTCTGTTATTCCCAGGTTCAGTTGAAGAAGTGCATCCCCTTCCCTATGGCCCAGGCTTTCCAAGCAGCCAAGGCCGTACTGTCTCGTATCCTGGCTCGTCCCCGCACAGGCCTCAGCCTCTACCACCTGCGTACGCTTCTCTTCTGGGCCTGTGACCGACTTCCTGCTGCCTACCTGTCCTGCCCTGACGCTGACACTCCCGGTCGCCTCCTCCTGGGTCTCCTAGATGATCTGGCTCATTGCATCCTGGGTAAAAACTGCCCAAACTACTTCCTGCCCCAGTGCAACATGTTGGAGCACCTGACTGACAGCCAGGCGCTGCTGGTTGCCAGGAAACTGGCCCACGTGCGCTCAGATCCCAGCGAGCACCTGCGGGCGGCTCTGGACCAGGCCCAGCAGGCGGGCCAGCTGAAGAAGGAGCTAACAGCTAGCACCAACGGCCACGGCTCTCCCGGGCATCACCCAGCCAACGGCATCATTTCGCCTTCGGAGGACAAGCTGGCGCAGCGACTGCAGCAGCTGGTCACAGAGAACCCTGGGAAATCCATATCTGTCTTCCTGAACCCTGATGATGTCACCAGGCCGCACTTCCGCATCGATGACAAGTTCTACTGAGGCAGACACGCTGCAGAGAAGACGTGTGGAAACGTGTGTGTGTTTATCTTACAAACACACTCTGGAAATGCTCTGAGATGTCACATCAGAGGGGACGGAGACTGAAAATCAGGCAGGTGTTTTTCTGCAGAACACATCTGGCCTGAAACTGAGCACACTCCCCCTCTTCATCACCCTGAGGCTGAACAAAGCCATGCTGCTCGACTGACTCTTCAAACCAAAAAACACACATGTCCTACTACTGACAAATGACGTCCAGTTTAGTGGACGTCGCACAACAAGACATGATGTCACCGAGCTGTTGCCACGGAGACGGCCCTCTCCTAACGAGCTGGCCTTAACGAGACTTATCAGCTGGTGCTACAAAGACAAGAGCCGGCTTTAGTCGTGTGAATAAGTCCAACGGAAATCAACACAGAGAGAGTGTGTGTGTGTGTGCGCGTGTGTGTGTGTGAGAATGTGTGTCTATCTATGTGTATGTGTACATTTTACATATTACTTAACACTTCTAAAGATGGGGGGAGGATAGAGCCTTGATTGCTGCGTTTCTCCCCTTTTTATTTTAGATCAGAGTTGGCGATGGCTAAATTAGAAAGGAAAAACAAGGTGTGGCTGATGTAACTGAATGTAATGTTGTGAGGAGAACCGCCGAGTCTTTGAACAAAGAGTCTCTTCTCTCTTTCAACTACAGTTTAGCTCCTTTTTTTTTTTTAACCCCCAAGCCTCAATTTATGGCATCTTTTTTCACTTGTTTTTAGTCTTTCTCAGGTATTCAATATTCATACTACTTATCTTTTTTTTTTTATGTATATGATTCCATTATAAGGTCTTTAACTATATATCAATGCCGCTTACATTTCATTGGGTAATTGAATGTACCAAAGAACTATGTTTGAGCAGTTTTGCAAACAGAAACATGCATCTCACACATCCCTAACCATCTTGTTTTGATGACTCGACTGAATCATGGTCAGAATGTTAATTTGCCTTTTCTCTGTTGAAAGGCCCGGTCACACCAACATGTTGAAGAGCGAACATTTTGTGGCAAAATCAGTTAATTCCGATGGAATCAGTGTCATAAGATTTGCTCATTACGTAGATAGGTAGATAAGCTCATATCGATCACCTCAAGTTCAGCTTTGATGAACTTGACCAATAATTTGAGGGAACTGAAAATGGAGGAAGCTGTTGTAGCTTATTAGCTGTGTCACACCGTCCAGTTTTATTTGACCTCCCTCAGATGACTGCTCTACAAAAGAGGGTTTGAAGTTACGAGGCACGAGTCAATGGTACAAATGCGTCTCTTGAAAATACTGTGTGAACTCAGCAACTGAAGTAATGAGCTTTCTAACTTCCAGTTAACAAGCCCTTAGCTTGTTGACATGATGTACAGAAGAAAATATCAGGGCGAGTAAATGATCTAGTCCAGAGCTCCTTTACTGCCTAATGCTAGCCTGTCCTGGTCTGCTAGCCAGCTGTAGAAGTAGCCCTGCGAGTAATCACTATCAGAGCTACAACAATTAGTCGACTAATTACTTAATAAAAACTAATTGGTATTGGTACTATTTTGATATTTGATTGTTTCGAACCTTTTCAAGTAAAAATGCCAAATATTTTTTGATTTCTGATGATTTATGCCTTTGTCTTATCATATGATAGTTAATTGAAAACCTATGAAATCAAGAAATTTTGAAAGCTATTTACCACATATTTCACATTAAGAGGCAGATGAATTTCGCAGTGACACTATGTAGTGTGACCGGGCCTTGGACACAGAATGAGACTGAATTAAACTGGTTAATTATATAAGAGAATAGGACGATTTGCTGATTTGCTGTAAGAGTTGTTACAGCTTTTGAGAAATCCTTGAAACTTCAAGAATGGGTTTTGTTTTCGTACCTGAGCTGACAGTTTGTGTTACGGTAGACTTAAAAGGGGATTTGGATCATTTCAAACCCTGAGTATGGAGATATGACAAATTAAATGAGCAGCAGTGTTAAGTTAAAAAATTGTGCAAAAAGAAAGGTACAGTGTAGCTGTTGAGTCGGGGCTTGTTGGTCAGTTTATCCGCCATCATCACGACTAAGTCGAGGTTCTTTGCCTTCGAAACGTCCCACAGAGGGTCCAGTATGTCGAACATGTTGTTGCACATCATGTGAGTGTGTCTATTAAGTTTCCGTTGAGGAAAGTTGAGAGTTTTGTGTGTCTCATTTGATTTTCTTGGAGGCTGGTTCTGACTTGACTGATTCTGATAATTGTCCCCTGTCTCCTCTGCTTGGTTGGTCTTTTTTAATGAGCTCTGTGTGTGTGTGTGTGTGTGTGTGTGTGTGTGTGTGTGCGTGTGCGTGTGCGTGTGCGTGTGCGTGTGCGTGTGCGTGTGTGTGCATGTGTGTCTAGGCGCCTGTGTGTGTGTGTGTAGGCGCCTTTGTTGTGTACTCGCTGAGAGACGAACCATGCAGCAGGACACAGACAGACGCCCAGATGCTGCCCATTGAATTATCCCCTCAGTGGGTGTGTGTTAGTCACTGGGCCCTATCGTCTCTCAGCAGACGGAAAGTATCCACAGGGGGACGGAGGGGTGGATGGAGGATGGATGGGTAGAGGGAGATGGGCCCTTCTGTGGTCCTTTTGAAGAGATTTGAAGTGGGAGGATGGGCCTTGCGGGGCCTGGACAGCTGCCTCTCTTTGGATCTGTTGCTGTTTCTCTCTGCCTATTTCCTTTTTTCTTTTTCCTCCACTGGTTTCTGTCTTTCTCTCATTTTTCTCCCCATCTCATAGCTCTTTTATTCCCTCCTCCCTCTCTTATCCCATGTACATTTCTCCACAGACGGTTGCCATTTTCCCGTCTTTGAATACTGAAGGTCCAGAGCCACAGAAAGCTCCCTAAAACTTGGTACTACTCCAGCCTTATGTTTACACTGTTAGCAAACACGTTGCTCCAGTGCCACTCAGCTGATTTGATTACGAGCTGTGCAGCCAGCAAGTGGTGTAGTGGCAACAACAAGTACAACCAGACAGAAGCAGTCATTCTCTCCCTTCCACTTAACATTAGTTTCACTTGTTTTACCTTAATGAACTTGAGACATACAGTTGTCTAAACACTATCTTCAAACAAATTGATGGGTAAACTTGGATTGAACTGGGGTTTACCGAGCACTAAAATGCTGCTTGCACTGTTGGTACACAGGCAGGGGGCAGTACGCTACAAGCACATCATCAGTTACAGTGTAGTTTACATACATATAAAGGTGGTCGGGGTTAGTTGGGTTGATTTTTAAGCTACTGGTGTGTGAACATTTCTGAGTCTTGTGTCACACTGTCAGCTCTCAGAGTCAAAATTCATGCTCGTACTACTGATTGAATTTTTTTTTTTTTAGAGCTGCTTGTGTGTGTGTGTGTGTGTGTGTGTGTGTGAGGATCGAATCTGAGGAAAAAACCAAAGTGTGATGCTGAGGTGGAACAGAATGTCTAAGCAGGGTGTGTATTTAGCTGCCAGTTGTCAGAGGATCGTGTGGTGTGTTTTCAGCACTTTGTACAAGACGGGCCCGATTGTTGTTACCACAAACTGTACGAGTTTTTAAAAAGTCCTGAGAAGCATTTATATATCGGAGAGTATAGTTAATGGAAAGGTACCCTCTCATTGCCCTCCTTGGTGTTTGACTGAGAGTGGTGTGCGTCTCCCTTTGTACCTTAACGGGCCTAGTTAGAGATTACAAGACACTGGAAACAATCAATGTTTTTCTTGAATTGTACACATGAAATCTTTGTGAAGAGTATCGAATCCTGTATTTTACAATGGTGTCAGTTTATAGATATGCAATCAAACCCCCCTGTGGAAAAGGCCTGTCATTTACAGCTCCTATTCTTAATTGTACTTCAGTGTAGATTTACTGTAGTTGTGAAAAAAAAGGGGGGGGGGTAAATCACTATCTGCTGTCCAGGGATTGCATGAAACACAGGCGACACTCCCAGACATCAATCTCCACTCTATGCTTATCTATTTATAATTATAACTGTTTTTTTTTTTCTTTTGTGCTGAAACTTCTGATGATTCAACTGCTGTGGATAAATAACTGACTAAATACAATGAATGTATCCACTCTATCTCTAGCTTCTCATCCTTATCTCAACAGATGTATTCAAGTGCTGAGATAAACATGTACTGAATCACTCCACAGGCTGAGAAATTGAATTTCATATCTCTTTTATTACTTTTTTTTTTTGAAATAAGTGCAAATTGTTATCTCTGTATCATGACTGATTTGCTGTATTTATTACTGTTATTTTCTGGGGGTTTATATTGATCAAGCTTTAGCATGAAATAAATCACTACATTTCAAATTATATTGTGTGGAAATACTTTCATCAAGCATGTAATCTTTTTTTTTAATTATTTTTAACACTCCCTCTCTGTAAATCTTGCTCATACGTACTCAGCGGCTGATGGGCTTGGTTTAATGTGAGGTGCAACACATGTTTGAGTCAACAGAGGGCGCTCCAGGACAATGTTTGGCCTGTAGATGCTTCACCCGAGTCTGCTCTGCACTGACGGAGTTAGGACAGAGAGAGGGGACGCTCCAGGCTCAGAGACACATGCTGTGAGTATCAAAATACAGACTTGGCGAGTGTATCGTTAAGGCTATACCAGAATTAAAAACTGTGTAATTTCCAATAATCTGTGTTATTTTAATGTGTTACCTTATTAGTCTTTGTCTCGTTTCTCCTACCCATAGAAAGGTCAGAGGTCAGGGTCAGGATTGAAGATCTTTGCTTCTTGCTGAGAGGTTAGATGGACTGATATATTACAAATGTCCCCTAAATACAAAAATACAAATAAGTACCTTAAAGGACACAGTCCATCATTAGCATGTTGTTTTAGTAGGCAACACTGTCACTGTGAAAATGCAGAGAGGGACTTTATCACTTGAAAGAGACTTTAGTAACCAACAAACACAGCTTCACATTAATTCATCAACTAATCTTCACGTACAAAAAGTAAAGTCAAATGACTTGTCTTACTTGATCTTGACTTGTCACACTGTGATTTCTTTTTGGTATTTTGGGACGTAGGATCCCCATGGACAGCTGAGACAGGATCGGCCTTTCCCCTGATTGACATTGCTTCTCAGTTTTCTGTTTTCTAAAGTAGGGGCAGTGGTGTTTCTGCTTTTGCATAATGATTCAAGATGAAACACCATGCTCATTATTTGGGGAATTTAATCGCTGATGATTCATAATGAATTTCTCCAAACTCAAAAGGAAAAACCCTTACAGCTGGTCTCCAATCAGCCCAAAAGGTCACATGTCACTCTGCTACTCATTGACCTCCACTGGCTACCCATGGCTGCCTGAATCAAATTCAGGTCACTAATTCTGCCTTCAGAGTGACTTCTAGGTCTGCTCCATCTACTTGAACTCAGCCAATAAGTCTTATGCTCCTTCCACTGCGTTCCCCCAAGGAATGGCATCACCATCCCTGCACACAAGACAATCATAGTCCAGACTGGTGTGGTC